GAATGAAATGCTACATCTCACTGGGTCTCCCCTGTCAGTTCCTGTGGACCCAGAGATGGGGTGGACCATCTGACATCTGTAGAAAGAGGGGCAGTGCAAGCCTGGGGCCGCATACCTCATAGCACCTTGGCCAAAGCTAGGCATGTACGGAAGAGTACCCAGCTTTGTTCTGCTGTTCCCGCGAGCCTCTGTCCCGTAGGCCTGCAGCTAGCTCACAGGAACCCCAGGAAACGCAGAACGCCTGTGGGTCCACCCTGTCCTACCAGGGTATCAGCCAGGATAGCCTGCCTCCAACGGTCCTCATCTTCATAGAGCCACAGTTTGTCCCACCAGGAGGATGGTGGTCACCGTACTGACTCCTCAAAGTCCTGCAGAGCCATGAGGACTGGTGGCTTTGGCTACTCCACGTACCTGTGCCCCACTCCCTTTCAAGTCCCCAGAAAGGGAAGCTCTCGTTGGAGCACTGTTCTCCTAGCTGACCAGGATGGTCATAGTGACTTCACTGCCTAGTTCCTGGAAAGCTTGGGGCAGACAGGGGCCCTGGCTGGACTGTCTCCCATACCCACTCCCCGCCATTCTCAGGGTTGGGCTTGGGTCTGTGGCTGGGGCTGCAAGGCAGGCCAGCTGGGCCTCTCCAGGCCCTGGCAACAAGCTCTGCCACATAGCTCTGGACACAGCCCACCCCTTGGGGCCTGAGGGAGGTCACCGGGAGGTGATCTTTTTCCACCTCTGATTGAGCAAGACAAGGCCACTGGGGACAACCGCACAGCACAGCCAGACTTTGAGACAGAGACACAGGGCCAGGCGGAGAGCCCCCACCCCCACCCCCCTGCCCCAGCCTCACTGGGGAGTCAGTAACTGGATGGGAGGATGCTCCTTTCCAGATCTGTTCACTGGCTTCTAGAAATGCCTACTTGGAACTGTGAATTAGGAGAGCAGTTTGGCCTCTGAACATTGGGCTTGTGTCCCTCTAGGGCATTTCTATTCTGAGTTTTCCAGCCTCTCCCCCACCCCCATCCTCAGCACACCACAAAAGCCCACTGCCTTCAGCTGGTTACAGGTCATCACACAGGTCAGACTTTCCCTCCCTCTAAATCTGAATCTCCGCTCCTCACTAGAGACAGCCAGGCTCCTGGAATTGGAGAGAGGCAATGGGGAGGGGCTGGCTGTCCTGGAGCTGGACTGGGAGACTATAAAGCCAATTCACAAGGCAGACATCACTGGCCAATTAAAGCAACCAGCCAGGGGGAACCTCTGCCTCTTGGGGCTGGGCTGCTAGCTACCTCCTAGGGCTCGCGGTGGTGGGGCTGGGGGCGGGGCGGAGGGCTGTGTTCCTGTTGATATTTTACAGTCCCAGGGATCCATCCAAGGGTCTTTTGACTGCTAGGCAAGCACTCTACCATTGGTCTTCAACCCCAGCCTGGATTCACGTTGGAGGAAGATAAAAAGAGGCTTTAAATTTCACCCTGGCTCGCCCAAGTTAGTGAGTTTGGTCCTGGCTAGGTCCAAAGTGGAGACAGTGCACTCCAACCAGCTTCCACCTGGCCCCAGACTCAATGTTCAGGTCAAACTCTGGGCTCAGTTCTCAGGACAGACCACAGGGCACCCAGCCTGTGCCTGGCAAGGTCTCTGAAGCTGACCTCTGTGCCCTGGCACAGACAAAGTCTGCTAAGAGGTTTTAAAGATGACTTATGTACATGGTTCTGTAGGGGAGGGGGGTGGCACACATATACCACAGCACATGTGCCAAGCACATACCAGAAGCCTGCCTGCCGTAGCCTTGATCCAGAAAAGTGGAGGACCACATATGTCCCACACACATCGAAACTGCATGGGAGAGAAATAGGAAGGCTGGGCTTCACAATGGTAAGTGTGCCCCAGAACTGTCTTCATACTCATTAGTTAGGTCCCTTCTCCTTGCAAACAGGAACCCACCTTCTTAGCAGACGAACCATGGTATACACCCTGAGAAAATGATTGTGGCCAAGAAGAGGTAATATCTCCAGATCATCTGAGCAGAAAGACACAAAGGCTTATACACCTATTTTGAGGTCCTTCGAAGGCAGGACCGTTGTGAGTGCATACGGTACCTTTGTGTAAATTAGGAAAGACATCCCTAACTCTGAGCAGATCAGCCCCACATCAGGACATACAGCCCCGAGAGCAGAGCACAGGCCGGACTTCAGCCTCTGTGATCCCCTCATCCCCCTGTGCAGTGGAAATCCTGTCCAACTGCACACCCAGGACTGAAGAAATGAGAGTTACTGGGCTTGTTCAATTTGAGTCTGCTCTGAGTTCCTCCTCCAAATTCCTTGAATGACCCTGGAGTCTTCTTTGCTCGGGGAAGCCATCTTTCCTTTGAACCCTGTCTTTAGCACCGATGTCTTTCCTTACAGAGAGAAGGATTATGACTTGATTTCCAGGTTAGGAGATGCCCCGTGAGGAAGGCCAGCCGCTTTCAGTCCCCTCCCTGAGTGCTGTGGCAGGGAGAGAGGAAGTTCAGAGGCAGCTGAGATCCCGCTGGGCTCAAGAACTCTCGCTTCCGGCCTCGCGGGAAGCTGAAGGAAGGTAGGAAATGTGTCCCCAGCTCTGCGGGTTCCGTGATCTAGACGCCGCCGTCTGTTACTTCCAAGGTCACTTTTCAGCTGACAAAGCCATGTCCTAGCTTCTTCCGGTATCCCACTAGGTACGGAAAAAAGGAATGGGGATAAGGGGGAGGAGGTACACGTTTCCAAGGAAACCAAGAGGTCTGGGCTCCCCTGGGGCTGACTGATCAGTGGGACGGCTGCTCCATTCCCACGCCCCCTGCGAATCCACCCGGTCTCAGAGTGCTGCTGCCGAGGTGGGTGTCCAATCCAATCCAGTAGCTGGCAGGGTCTTTGGAAAACAGCCGACAAAGGCACAGGCCGCTGGGCCCAACACGATGGTGACCGGCTTCTTGGCTCACACACGGCTGACACCCAGGCAGCAAAGGCGGCAGTAGTTTGCACCCTGGGACCAATCAAGGGGCTTCCATGTGGGACCAAGTCAGACTTGAGACCTATCAAGCTTGACTCCATTTTGAGGCACCTTTGAGAGGTTCTTGGAGAAGTCCAACCCTCCCTGAGGTCTTCTGGAGGTGACAGGGTCTGGGTAACAATCCCTGAGCCCATGCGGTGGGCACTGGCAGTGCCGAGTGGGAACCCAGACATAGGGCTGGCTAGCCAAGGCATTGCTGTTCTCAGCCAGGAAGCCCCTGGCCAAGGTCCTGGTGGGTTAAAGCTGTGTTTCCATCGGGCATGGGGGAAGGCTGACACATTTGGTGGTTCTGGGGGGTCTAACCTGGCCTCCTATTTCCTAACCGGCTCCAGCAGGAAAGCCTCAGTCCACTTCCTGGAGAACATCACCATCACCAGAGTCTCAGGAGCTCCACCAGCAGACACAGCCGCCTGTCCTTCAACAGTGTTTGACAAAGGCCCCCGTTCCCAGTGGGGGTTCTGAACAGAGGAGAAGATCCCACTGGGGTATGTTATATGTACACACAGGGAAAAGAATTAAAAATAACAAAACGCGACCAGTGTCCGTCCTCCCAGATGACTGTCCTGTTCCAGACTGCGTTCCTGGGGCTCCATCCAACAAGGGCCACCCAGCCTCACCAGGGACCCGCCCCTTCCCTGTTTTCTTCTCTGTTCAAGGCCAGGTTTTGCAGGAAGAGGAAGACCTGCCACCACGCGCGGTCTCGGTTCTGCTGGTGCTGTAAGGGAAAGAGATGACCGTTAGGTGCCAGGCACCAGCTGAGAGCGCGGGCTCCTTCCTGGATCCCAAACAAGCTTCCATTGCCAGACCTCAGACTGGCACCGTTTTTGCCATCCGGCCAACTTGGGGGGGACACGGGACAAAACTCCAAAGACAACTGGTGTTCGGGAATTAAAAACACTAGGCGGGGCTGTGTGGACTGTGACGGGAGGATCGGACTTTCTCCCCTGCTCGCAGGATTTTTCCAGAGTTTAGCCAAGTACTGCTTTTAATCAGATTGGCTCCTGAGCACACACACACACACCCCCACCCCAAACTCAGCTGCATGAACAACAATCTTGCTTGAGCGAGAAAGACAAGAGTCCCTCCCTCTCCCCCATTCCAAAGGAACACAGAGAACAAGAGAGGGAAAGGGGGGGGGGAGCCTCCATCTGCAAGTGATTTGACACTGTGAAGGTCACAGGGTTAATCTTCAATTTAAACCACACTGCTGAGGCAGCAAAAATCTGATTTCATCCAGTACAAACAC